GAAGTTCTGCTTTCTTAAGCAACACAAAACTAATCTTTTGCTTTTTCAACATAAAAACACTTCCAAATATTTGAAGGGAGTTATTATGTACTTCCTAAGTCATTGGTTTTTAAGCTTTAATATACAACAGAATTGCCTAAGGAGCAAGTTCAAAATGTAGATTTCCCGAGCTCATCCCCAAAACTGATTCAATAAGTCTGGGGTGTGTCCTATAAATCTGAATTTTTTTTTCAAGTAAATAAACATTTAATATATTTTAAGCTGAATGTCACATTTGTGTTTTTTTGCCTTTGGGGTTATTATTTAATATATTTTTCATATTCCAGAGATCATGCATATTCGTAGAAGAAAATACAAGTAAGCAAAAGAAATGAAAATCATCCATAATTGCAACATGTCAAAAAGTCACTGTTAATATTCTTTCACATATACTAGCAGTTTTTAATTTCTTACATGTGAAAATTTTAATTAAAATATCGAAATGTATTACATTTACATGCAATTTTCTGTTTAAAGGTGCTATTTTACTGGCTAAGAAGCACAAGAAAAGATGTTCAACACCATTAGTTATTAGGGAAATGCAAATCAAAACCAGGATGTGATACCACTTCACAGCCACTAGGATGTCCAGAATCTATTTTTTTAAAAAAATAATTATTGCTTTATTCCATGTCTTTTAAATTTGGTAAAGAAAAGAGTTACGTATTAGTTTTTATTGCTGCTGTAACAAATTACCACAAACTTAAAACAAATCAAATTTATTATCTTACAGTTCTGAGGGTCAGAAGTCCATAATATGTCAGCAGGGATGTGCTCCTTCTAGAAGCACCAGGAAAGAATCTTTTTTGTTGTTGTTGTTTTGCCTTTTCCAGCTTCTAGAGGTCACCTACATTCTTGGCTCATGGCTCTTTCCTCCATCTTCCAAGCCAGCAGCATAGCATCTTCACATCTCTCTTTCTTTGCCACTGACTCTCCTGCTTCCCTCTAACAAGGACCCTTTCGATTACACTGGGCCCACTCAAGCAACACAGGATAACCTCCCTATCTCAAGATCCTTCACTTAATCACATCTGCAATGTCCCTTTTGCCATATAAAGTAACATATTCACAGGTTCTGGAAATTAGGAAGTGAATGTCTTTGGGAGCTGTTATTGAGCGCATCACAAGTTATAAACAAAAGTACGGGCTGGCCCAGTGGCGCACTGCTACAGTGCGCCACTTGGGAGCGCAGCGGCGCTCCCACCGAGGGTTCGGATCCCACATACAGACCGGTTCCCGCTCACTGGCTGAGCGAGGGGCGGGCGCAGCACCGAGGGTTGCGATCCCGTTGCCGGTCCCGGTCCGGTACGGGCGCGACACTGAGGGTTGCGGTCCGTTGCTGGACACGAAAAAAGACAAAAAAGGAAAAAAAAAAAAAAGTACATGTATACATGTATACTGTCTTCTATATTTACTGCTGTAGTTACCTTTAGAGTTATTGTCTTGTGTCCCTTCATTTCTAGCCTAAAGTACTCCCATAACAAGTGTTGGTGAGGTGGCGGAGTAATTGGAGCCCTCATACATTCCTGTGGAAATGTAAAATGGTGAAGCAGCTGTGGAAAACAGTTTGGTAGTTCATCAAAACTGAAACAGAATCACTCTATAACCCAGCAATTCCACTCCTAGGTACATACTCAAAAAATTGAAAAAGGTCTTCAAAAAACAAAACAACCCCCCCCCCCAAAATACCCCTTGTACACAAGTGTTCATAGCAGTCCTATTAACAATTGCCAGTAAATGTAAAAAAACAAAATATCCATTAACAGATAAATGGACAAACAAAAGTGGTATACCCATACAGTGGAATATTACTCAGCCATAAAAAGGAGTGAATGCTGATACATCCTACAACATGGATGAAACCTGAACACATTATACTGTGTGGAAGAAGTCAGACACAAAAAATCACATATTGTGTAATTCATTTATATAAATTTTCCTAATAGGCAAATCTATAGAGACAGAAAGCAGATTGGTGGTTGCCAGGAACTGTGGGGAGGTGGGAATGGGAAGTGACTCCTTAATGGGTATGGCATTTCCTTTTGGGATGAAGAAAATGTCTTGGAACTAGATAGTGGTAACGGTTTTACAATGTTGTGAATGTATAAAGTGCTACTGAATTGTACATTTTAAAAAGGTTAAAATGCTGAATTTTATGTTATATGAATTTTAACTCAACAAAATATGATATTTTATGACACTTCATTAATCTGTGTTCTTCACATAATAATATGTTGTGAACATCTCTTCATGGCATTAAATTCTTATGAAACATCATTTTGTGGTCTTTAAAAATCTTTGTGTTAACTATTCAAGACACTGTTTATTTTTTTAAGAGTGGCATTATGTTAAAAAATAATTTAAAAGTGTTTTGTCTTACTTTGCAAGAATTCTTTTCATGCACATTGGTGGTTAAGATATCATTATCGATTACAAATTGATTTATTCTTCATCAAGTGACTTTTGGGGTAGCAATTTCATTTTTGTAGCAGTAGATGCACACATGTTCATGTAAGATGAGTATGGTTAGGCACCTTTCATCAAACCAGTATGGCTTGGTGACTCCAAAGACACTGACATTTTTGGTTCTATGAACAGAAGTAGACCACTGAGAAGGAAGAAAGTGACACTTCAGCTCCCCAGGTAAATGCTGATTTCATTCTCACGCCGATTTTATGGATTGGAGAGACTAACTCACTTGCTCAAGTTCACTCAGTTAGTGAGTGGTGGCATGGGGGTAAATTTGGTCAGCTTGGCTTCAGAGGTCATGCCTTAATGAACAAGGGAACTGATTTTCAAAGTGGGTCTCAGCCCTAGGCTTATCAGAACACCTAGGGAACCATTCTGGACATAGCAGATGAGACTTTTTGACAGATGGAGCCTAAATATTTAAATGTAATATGTTTCACAGAAAATGCATTCACTTGTGTATACAATAAAATGCACAGTGAAAAATATTGGTTCTACAAATGCCCTTCATCTGCCCAGCTTCTTTATCTTTAGGTAAACAATCTTACTTTTGGTGTATCCTTTTATAGTATATTTAGGCAAATATATGTAACTAGTCACCCTCTGTCTCATCTTTAAATGGACCATCTGCATTTAAATGTAACCTCAGATAATTTTGATGCAGATGGTCCATATACTACTTGTCACAAAGCACTGCCCATGTGAAGGTATTTTTAAATTCCCCCGACAAATGGTGTTTATAAAATTTGATGGTCAAAGTCACTGGATATTTGTGTCTGTGCTCCTTTTCAAATGTAGCACCCACAATAGAACCAAATATTCAGGTATATTTGGACTGATAAGAAGTGGAGTTAGGAAATTATCTCCTTTAACCTGATTTATGTTCTTGCACTAAAACTGTCTGCAATTGTCTCACCAATTTTTAGTAGATGTGTAGTATTATTGACTCTGTGATACTGTGGTTAACTAAAACCTGTTAGGTTAGGAATGAATTACAGGGAATGGATGATGCAATGCTCGCAGAGAAGCAAGCAAGAGCAGAAAGGATGAGATGACAATAGATGAAGACATATCCTGAAGAGGGGTAGCAATATGTACTGTTCTCACCAAAGGTGGCACACAGACTTCTCAATAACTCGTCTCCCTTTCCCACAGCCGATGACATTTCCCACTGCTGGCCATTTACAAAAGCCACTGCTCACTGTCATCTACCGATCCTCACTGAAGTCTGTAGATAAACAATCTGCTTTGCCACTTATTAGAAAGCTGGTAGACCTGCTGTCCATTCTCTTAACTCACAATAAGAATCAGCATTCTGTAATCAGCCCTGCCTACTCCAACCTCTGCCACATTAGAAGGAGTTGTAACCTTGGTACACTTCTTGAGAAATATTTTTGATTTCTAACAGACTTCTGAGGGTACCTTGGCATATTTGTGGAGGATGATCTAAAACTCTAAAAATAGCTATGAGCACAATTCTCCCACATGCACATAATTTGAATAGGTCTGGCAAGATCCTTTTAAGCCCATAAAAGTGTCAGAGAATATTATAAATTGGCTTTACATACCTCAATACACCCGGTGTACAGATTAGCACTTTCTGTTATGACACCCAGGCTCTGTGCCCTCTACTCCAAACAGCAGGAAAAATTTATGAGCCAGAAAACCTTTCTTGGATTTGGCCTTAGGGAAGTAAGGAGTAAAATTTACTTGCTCACCAGGAGTCTGAGGCTCCCAAGAATCAGGAGGGAAGTCACACTGAGTGAAAACACAGTGAGTGAAATTAGTTGTTAGTGTCTTCAAATGCACTGTAAGTCTGAGAAGGGACTCAGGGTTGCAAATAACAAAACTCTGAAACACAGCAGCTTTGTATTGAATGTGATAATAGAGAGATGATCCCAAATGTGATGTAGAGAGAGGAGAGTTTAGAATGTGGTTCTGAGAAAAGAGGATCATATCATTACAGATGTTAGAATTAAATGATTTCAATTTTCACACACAGTGTGCCTCAAAAGTGTTTGGCACCAGATGCTTAAAAGTGGTACCTAAGAGCCAAATATAAGGCGGTGACTCTGAGGCTTATATGAGTTGTCACTGTTGCATTCCTGTATTCATGGAACACATATTTTTGAGTATCTAGTATGTGCCAGAACACAAATATGAATTCGACACGGTCCCTGCCTTTTAGGAGTTTATGTCCAAGTGAGTGGAACAAGACAAAAAGATGGTAATACATTGGAATAACTAATCTGATAGAGATAAGCACAGGATGTTTGAGAACACAGTGAACTAGAGAGAAGCCAACTGATGAGAAGTTGAAGAAAGGCTTTTCAGAGAAATGATGCTTGAACTGAACCATGAAAGATGAGTAGGAGTTACATAAAGGAAAGAGTTTGGGGAGGTTATTCCAGTCAAAAGGGACAGCATTGTATGTTGTGGGAAATGTAAGTATTTCAGTGGTTAGACTATAGTATAGGATACAAAGCAAGAGAATGCTGAGAGATGAGACTGGGGAAACAGGCAGCAGCCAAATCATGAAAGCCCTATATGTCATGCTAAGGCAGATGGACTTTCTTCGGCAGGCAATAAGGAAGCTGGTAAATGATCATTTTTGATAAGTCACTTTGGCAGCAGTGTGGAGAATGGAGAGGACCAGAGGCAAGACCAGAAGCAGGGAGACTAGTTAAGAGCTGTTATAATAGTCCAGTAGAGAGACATGTAGGGTCTCAAAAAAGGTAGTAGCATGGGGGATGGCAGGAAGAGGATGGGTTTGAGACTATTGAGGAAGACTTTTGTCATTGTCCTTGTTTTGTATTGTTTTGATTCAAGGCTTGCTTTGAGCTGGAGGTCAAAGTGGTTGATGTGGTGGCAGCAGAAAAAGGGTAATGATAAGATATGATCATAGAAGCTTATTTCAGATAAGATATTTGTAAAAAAATTAACTATGAAGCTCTTTTAAAAAAGTGCTCTTTTTGCTCAGCTTGCAAGAATAACCATTTGCTGAAGACTGCTTGCTTAGTCTGTTGAGGGTTAATAACTCATGTGGTTTAGTTTGCTCTAGGAAATTGTGCAGTGAAAATAAAGCAAGTTAGGGTCAGGGCAAGGGAGAAAGGCTCTGCCAGCTGTCTCTTTTTCCTCTCTACAAAGCATAAATATCCTCTAAACAATCTCACACAAAAAAAGAAACCTTCTGTGCCAGAAATCTGTTTACTTTGCAAAGGAAGAGTCCAGAAGACCATATGGAATACAATTAATGCTGATATTCACTTCAGAATGTACAAGAAGAGTAGGAAGAAATAACTAGAATAAATGTTAAAATTATTAGGACATGACATAGAATCACATAGAAATAAGTTTAAAATAATAAAAAAGTTTTTAAAATTACATATTGATACACCCATTTAAAAACGAATCTTGCATAAAGAGAAAACCAAGGGCCAGCCCGTGGCTCACTTGGGAGAGCGTGGTGAGAGCGTGGTGCTGACAACACCAAGTCAAGGGTTAAGATCCTCTTACCGGTCACCTTTAAAAAAAAAAAAAAAAGAAAAGAAAAGAAAACCAGAATAACCAGAATAAACAGTGTATCAGATTATGAAATGAGGTTATAATGGAACACAATAATACAAAGGACATTAATAAAACTCAATTCAGAATTCTTAATACTGAACAAATTAACCAGGAAAAATTAGATATATTAAGCTTGAATAAGAATAGAAATGATCCCAGGCTTAGATTACATAAATGTGATTATTCTTAAATACGGATATGAAAGGAGATTTAAATGTTAAATTAACAATAGATCACAATGTCAAGGAAACAAGGGATAGAACTAACAATATAAGAGAAATAAGTGTCTGTCTCCCAGTCCTGTTGAGTCCTCCTACAAAATATCTCTTAAATTTGTTTCCTAAGCACAACAGTTAATCTCTCCTACTCCATTTTCCACCTACTGAAACCCATTGAGCATAATGATGCCAGATCCTCTTTGAGAAATTTGCCTAATGAATCCAATCTAATCTCTTTTTGACTTGAAGGGCATCCATAATCGAATTCCATCCTACCTATGCAAGGCTTATTTTCCATTCTCCCCATCATACCTCCTTTGCTGTGGTCAGGCCATGCTGCATACTGTCCCTAGAATACCATATGCTTATTTTTGTCCTTGTCTCTTCCTGAGGTGTCATATCCTTTCTGCTCTGTCTGCCCCATCATCCTTCAAGGCTCAGGTCAAGTTCCAACCCCTCCATAAAGATTTCTGTAATCTCTTACTTCTCTGATTTTCCAGTACAATTTTAGATGGAATCACATACTCTATGGATAATTTAACTATTTAATATATGCAAGTCTTCCTTCTTCAACTTCATTGTTAATTCATCAAGGGAATATAATTCAGTATTACCTCAATGATTCCAATTGAGTCTAAGCCATTTTTATTCTAACATTTTGACCTATTTTGACACACAGTGGATAATGTAGATGATGATGTTCGGCCCCTAAGGACATGTTGACTTCTTGCTTTTACATACAAACATTTAATTCAGAATTATATATCAGTAACTATTTTTGTTCAGAACGTATATTAAAAGTGAACTCAGCTCACCCAATTTAATTCTTTGATCAATTTTCTGTTAAGAGCTATTAAAATGTTTTAATATTTCCTATATTAATTTTTATTTTACTAAAATTTTAATCTTAAAGAGTCTTTTCCATGTTAATTTTACAACTGCTTTCCAAAGTGGTTTTTGTTACACTTCTTGCTGTGTAATGGAGATGCAAAAAAGATTACTCAAAGCAACATGAATGCAATGAGAAGCCCAAAGGGACTGCACCTCAGCAACTCCTCAGTTAGAAGGAGAAACTTAGTACAGCCCTGATTCAAAGATAGCTTCAGTTTTTATTGTAAAGATAAGGAAGTTTCATAAGAAAAATCAGTTGATTCAATCATTTCAAAAGGACACAAAGACATGGGCAATGTGACATAAGTTATCTATGGCTAACTATAGCTTAAACAACAGAAACTAGTAGCATCATTTAAATTAACAATGTGACATTCCAAAGTACAATTTGTGAAAAGCTAAATTGATCAAACTGTGATCATTATCTAATCTAAAATATAACCTCTCTTTAAATGATTTAAGCAAGAGTTACATTCTTATGATTAAATCTAAGTATAATTGTCTCTAAAGTTTACACCAACAAACAGATTCCCTTAGCAAACATTTTTTCACATTTTTCCCTACAGCAACTCTTTCAACATCTTTTAACAACAATCAGTATGTTAAATAATCAAAGTACATAATCCCATCCCTAAACAGTGATTAGAATTGATTAGATGGGCTTTTGCCCACTAGCCGTAGATCACTGTCTCCTAACCAAGGACTGTGGGCCCACACATGCATTACCTAAAAACCCTATCTAAAAATCAACTGAGAATCAACATATATGTGATCAGAATTGGTTAGATGGGCTTTTTGCCCTGCTAGCTGTAGGCTGTTGTCTCCTAGCTATGGATTTTTGTCCCATTAGATTTTTAGCTAAATAGCCCTGTCTAAAAACCAAACGAGAATCAAGATTTTTAACCCTCAACAGTTTTACCATTCTACATTCCCAACAGCACTGTATGAGGGTTCTGGTTTCTTCACATCCTCATCAACACTTGCTATGGTTAATCTTTTTAATTTTAGCCATTCTAATAGGGGTGTGGTAGTATTTCATGTAGTTTTATTTTTCATTCCTTAATGACTAATGATGTTGAGCATCTTTTCTATGTGCTTATTTGCCTTTCATATATTTTCTTTGATGAAGTGTTCAAATTGCTCATTTTTTATTGGGTTGTTTTCTTATTATTACTTGTGATTTGCTACTCTAGAGAGTTGTATACATAGTGTAGATACAAGTCTTTTTCATATATATGATTTGCAAATAATTTCTCTCATTCTGTGGTTTGTCTTTCATTCTCTTAACAGTGTCTTTCTTTTTTTTTTTTTCCTTTTTGTCTTTTTGACTGACCGGTAATGGGATCGCAACCCTCGGTGTTGTGCCCGCACCGCGCTCAGCCAGTGAGCAGGAACCGGTCTCCACATGGGATCCGAACCCTCGGCGGGAGTGCCGCCGCGCTCCCAAGCGGCACACTCTCCAGTGCACCACCAGGCCGGCCCAACAGTCTCTTTCAAAGAGCAGAGGTTTATAATTCTGATGAAATCCAAGTTTTCAATTTTTTTCTTTTATGAATTGTGCTGTTAGATTACTTAAGAAATCTTTGCCTAAATCAAGGCCACAAATATTTCTTCCTGTGTTTTATTATAGGTTTTAGATTTAAGTCTGTGATGCATTGCAGGTTAATTTTGATGTATGGTGTTAAGTATGGATTCAAGTTAATTTTTTGCATATGGATATCCAATTGTGCTAGCAGCATATGTTGAAACTACTGTCTTTTTTCCACTGACTTGTCTTTACACATTTGTCAAAAGCCATTTGTCCAAGCATGTGGTTTTATCTCTGGATTTGCTATTCTGTGCAACTGATTTACAAGGGTATTTCAAAAAGTTCATAGAAAGATTCGTATTATCTTTCAATTCTATTTTTCCACAAACTTTTTGAAGTACCCTCGTATTTCTGTATCTTTATGCCCATACCATAGTGCCTTGATTAGTGCAGCTTTTTATTTATTTATTTATTTATTTATTTGTTTATTTTCCTTTTTGTCTTTTTTCGTGTCCGGCAATGGATCGCAACCCTCAGTGTCGCGCCAGTACCGGACCGGGACCGGCAACGGGATCGCAAACCTCGGTGCTGCGCCCGCACCTTGCTCAGCCAGTGAGCGGGAACCGGTCTGTATGTGGGATCCGAACCCTTGGCGGCGCCGCGCTCCCAAGTGGCGCACTGTAGCAGTGCGCCACCGGGCTGGCCCAGTGCAGCTTTTTAGTACATCTTGAATTCTGGTAGTCTTATTCTTCCAACTTTGTTCTTCATTTTCCAAATTGTTTTCACTATTCTAGAGTCTTTGCTTTGTCATATGAATTTGAAAATTAGCTTGCCAATTTACACAAAATGCCTATTAAGGCTTTGGGGAGAACTGACATCATAACAATATTGAGTCTTCCAATCCATAAAACTGATATATCTTTTCATTTATTTATTTTATTTAGCAATGATTTGTAGTTTTCAGTGTATGGGTCTTTCACTTTTTTGTGAGATTTATCTCCAAGTATTTAATATTTTTTGATGCTATTATAAAACTTTACTTTTACTTGAATTTCTAATTGCTAAACTCACTTATTGTTCTTATAGCTTTTTTGTAAATTCCATTGAATTTTCTGCATAGATGATCATATAATCTGTGAATAAAGACAACTTTACTTCTTTCCAATCTGGATGCCTTTTTTCCTCTTCTTTCATTCTCTTCTGTCCTTCCCTTTTGCCCTTCCTTCCTTTCTCCCTCCTTCCCTCCCTCCTTTCTCTCCTTCTTTTTTCTCCCTCCTTTCTTCCCCTTGTCCTTCTCCTCCCCTTCATTCTATTTTTTCTCTCATTGCCTTCTTACTCTGTCTGGAAACTTCAGTACAACGTTCAATGAACTGATAAGAGTGAACTCCTTGTCTTTTTCGTGATCTTAGAGACAAAGCATTCAATCTTTCCACTATTAAGTTTATTGTTAGCTGTACATGTTTCACAAATTCTTTTTTCAGGTTGAGGAAGTTTCTTTCTATTCCTAGTTTATGGAGAGTTTTCATCAGAGATCAATGTTGGATTTTTTTTTCAAAACTTATTCTACATTAATTGAACTGCTCATGTGTTTTTTCTTTTTTAGTTTGCTTATATGGTGAATTACACCAATTAAGTTTTTTAATGTTAAACCCCACTGGGTCTTATCATATTATCTTTT